ACGTTGATCGTCATTCTATGTTTCTCTTTCTTTTTCTTTTTTTTTTTTTTTTTTCGTATCGTAAGATCCGAAAATTGAAAACTCTTTTCTAAAAAAAAAAAGTCGATTTTGGAAAAATCGTATATACGATGGAACACATGGAATATTTCTATAAAGTTAATACGACTCGAATCGAAATGGGAATTATTTATCGAACATTCCTTCGAACATATTTCGCGTTTAATTCGTGCCGATGACAGTGAATAAACGATCGAAGCCGGTGACTCCATTGATGAAAAATTCAAAGATATTCGTTTTCAATGGGATTGGCATTTTATTCCAATCGTATAAATGTATATATATATATATACATTGGCGGTTTGTCCAGAGGAAAAATAGTGGACACGGAGGACGTCGAAAATATAGGCAATTTTCAAGTTTTCAATTCCGGCCAGTTTCGAAGTGAAACTTTCCCATGTCCAATTTCATTTGAAAAACTGGAAATTCGAACGGTCAATAGTCTCCTCTTCGAGTCGTTGGACGTTTTAACGAAACGCGCTTGTATCAAAAACCGGTTAATTTGAGAAAACAACGTATGAACGAAAATGAACGGGGGAGGTGAGGGGGGAAAGACAGGAGGGAGAGGGAAAAAAACAAAAAAAAAAAAAGACAGAAAAATCCTCACCGATATTACGAAAATTCCCACAAAAATTCTAAAAAATTTCTCTCTCTCTCTCTCTTTATCTCTTCCTTCTTCCACCCTTCGCCCTCCACGATCGTTGAAATTTTTTCCCACGTTAAATTATCCGAAAACAGAATTAAAAACACACAACGTAATTACATCGGACGCCGCGTTGAATTCGTTCGTTTCATTCGTTCGTTCGTTCGTTCGTTCGTTCGTTCGTTCGTTCATCCGTTGGAGAGAAGAAAATGGAGTGAAATTCGTGGGGAATAGAGGAGAAGCCGTCGATAACGGCCGTTCGTGACGAGCATTCAATTGCGTCCAACATATTTCGCGCAGAAACGAGGTGTATATCCGTTAGCTGATTATCTCCCGTGGTGCAGCTGGTTTTTCGAACGAGGAACGAAAATTAATCATATTTACGAGTGTGCTCTTCCCTTTCTCTCTCTCTCTCTCTCTCTCTCTCTCTCTCTCTCTCTCTCTCTCTCTCTCTACTCTACGTACGTCGTACGTACGTAC